AAAATAAAACAAATAATAAAAAAACACAAAAAGACAACACAAAAACAAAGAAACAAGACTAAAAAAACAAAAACAACAACAACAACAGCAAACAAACAACGAAAAGCAGCGGCAGACAAGCAAACAAACAAGGAAAAAAAAACCCACTCTATCCGCCGTCCCTGTGATCTTTCTTCCTTCCTTCTCCCAGACCCAAGGTACTTTCCCGCCCCCGGAAGTCACGGCCGGCCCAAGCGCCTGTGACGTCAGAGGAGCTCATGGATATTCAGGATCCCTTAGACTTCCTTGCTAAATACTGCATCATTAAGTAAGCATCACGCTCCAGATTTTTTTTTTATTTGGGGGGTGGGGGAGGGGGACTTTGTAATTCATTCTTTCATTCATTATTTCATTCATGCATTTATTTAATGTATTATGTAAGATTTTTAAGTAGGGGAAGGGGACTACCATTTTATTGGGAAGAATCCGTAATTTCTAATGGGTTTTTTTGTCTCCTGGCTTGTTTGTTTTTTTGTTTTTTTCGGTTATACTTTTGGTGGGAGGGCTGTTGTTGTCATAAATTTGGTTCGGCTTGTTTTTGGTTGTTTTTTTTCTTTTTTGTGCTTTGTTTGAATGATTTTCGCTTTTGGTTGTTGTTTTTTTTATTTGCTTGTTTGTATGTTTTGTTTGCTTTTTTTAGGGGACGGGGTGGGGTTTGTTTGTTTGTTTGTTTGTTGTTGTTGTTTTTTTGTTGTTTTTGTGTGTGTGGGGGGAGGGTATTTTAGTCCACGTAAAAGGTGGATTGAGGGTGTCAAGGAAAACCCGAGAAGACACAATATCACTACTGAAAGAGCTGCGTGGCTGGCCTACCATAGTAAACTGCATCTCCTCTCTACGTTTAACAGCAACAGAGGATGAAAAGGTAAACATAAAAGTAATTTTAGGGCGGCATGAAATTCTAATCAACTATCTTTCAGTCAGTAACTAAACAGATAACTTTCACTCAGTATCTAATCAATTATCTTTCGGTCGGTATATTACCCACTATCATTTACTCGGCATCTCATTAAATATCTTTCAGTCGTATCTGATCAAGTCGGTATCTCATCAACTGTTTTTTCCGTTGGTGATACACAAAAGTGGAAAACCTCCCTGGCATACGTGATGAAGTGTGCAGTCTCTCTTCTGTCGTGCGAAGAAGACGCCAGTTCGATTACTAAATCAGATAGTCAGTCTATCGAATACAGTCGAAACGTATAAGACGGCCACCCATTTTTGTCTAAGAGAAACATGGCCATCATAGACAGATGACATCTTACACAATGCCATTACAATGTATTACAAAATTCAAAGGAGGAAATGAGAAGCGGCTGTCTCTTTTTTTTTTTTTTTTTTTTTTTTGGTATTGTTTTATGGCGCTCACAACTGCATAAAGTCATAGGAGCGCGAGGGATACATAATTTTCAGTCAGTAGAGCATTTTGAATTTTGTCCTGATGACGGCCGAAGCCTACTTTTATAGATTTTGGACCACCAAGGGATCTTTAATGTACGTAACTTGCACACGGGACCTCCGAAATTATTCGCCCTTGTCAAAGAAGGCTAGGTATAGATCTTACCTACCATAAAATCAGGGGTGTGAACGAAAGACAAACAGTAAGAAGGAGCCAAGAAGAAGCAATAGAAAGACTACAGGGGGTTCTCGTGGCCTAGAGGTTAAGGTGTTCGCCTCTCATTCAAAGGTCCCGGGTTCGAATCCGGGTAGCGAACAAAAAATTTTCTTCTCTAAATTTGTCTCCTTTCGCCTCCTTTCCTACTCTCTAGCAATGTTCTGTCGTCTGCTTTCGTCTTCTCTTTCTGCCCCCCACCCCTTCACCTCCTTTGCCCCCTCCTCTGGGCTCCTGATTCTTTCTGCAGCCTTTCTACTGCTACTCATTGGCTTCTTCTTACTGCTGTCTTTCAGCCACACCCCTGATCTTCTGGTAGGAAAGATCTACACCTAGCCTTCTCGGACAATGGCGA